AAGCTTCTAAATTATTGATAAATTGCAGTAGGTGATTGTAGTAATAATTATTCTCTACAGGCTCTAATGCTAGTAAATTTTATGCCTCACTTCATTCATTCAAGTATTACATTAGAAAAGCAGGAGAAATGTGATTAAAGTATGAATTGTGATTTGATTTGTTAGAATGAAAAACGTATTCATGATCCACTGAAATCTCTAGCAATTTGAAAGCAGTTTGCTGCTATAAACAACATACTGAAGTGGACAAAATGTATTCTGTGTATGTATGAGGAACTGCTGTACATACAAACAATTTCTTTACCTGCAACATCAATGAAGAAAAATACAGCTTTGAACCCACTGTAGGTCTCTGTTTCATCAGAATGAAAGTGGATAAGCATTGTGTTAGAGGAACTCAGAACTGGTGCTGGGACAGCAAATCCACATGATCGAGCTAAGAAAATGAATCAGCGAATGAACGAATGGTAAGATCATAACAACAAACTGCCTCTTTTTAAAAGATAATGTTCAGTTATTCAGTGTGTTTTTAATCATTCTGTTACAGCCTGTTTCAGACCTACAACTTTTACAGCTTGTCTCACCTAGCAGATCAGATAGCAGCAGCGAACAAAGCAATAACCCTTTACTTGCTGACTCTCAATACTACCTCGTTACTTCAATACTTATAACACTGATTACTTCATTACCTCAAAACTTATAACTTTATTACCACAGGACTTATATAAATGATGAGCTAATGATGTCTCTAAAATAATTTCTCTGAAATAATCTCTAAAATAATTAATTTATCAATTGATTGATTGATTAGTGTGATTAGAGTGTTTAGTGCAAATAGCGTGATTACTGATCGGTGTAAATGATCAGTGATTAGTGTAATTTGATTAATAAAATTAGTGATTTAGTGAAATTAATTGACCAGTGTGATTAGTGATTAGTGTAATTAATTGATTAGGGTGATTGTTGCTTAGTGAAATTATTTGACTAGTGTGATTAGTGTAATTGATTAATTGGTGCAGTATTGGCTGTATTGTTTCTGGGAGTTGAAGTCCACAAGTCTTAAAGTTGCCAAGTTTGGGGATCCCTGAGCTAAAGCATCAGGCTAGAAATCAAAAGACTATGAGTTCTAGTCCTTTCTTAGGCACAAAGCCAGCTGGATGACCTTGGATCAATCAGTCTCCCAGACCTAAAAATTGACAATGCCAAGCCACTTCTGAAAATCCTTCCTAAAACACTGCAGGGACCAATAGTCTCTGAAAATCAGACGTGATTGAATGGATTTTTTTTTTTAAAGGCCCACATGTTTTGTTGAAGATAGTCTTCAGGTAAAAGGAGTGGCTCCATTCCAATGAAGGCAAAGACACAGGAGAAGCCCCGCTAATATATAAAGTCACCTGTGACTCAAGCCATGACCTTTGGTGCCCTATGCTATTTTCTTTTGATATTTCCACCCCTCTTAGCATTTGTAAAACTGCAGGTATTACCCAAAGGCACAACTCTATAAAGTAATCATGTAATAATTATCTTGATTTTAAGCTTTGCAAATAGGGAAGAGGGACAGATAAATTACACTGTATGCACGCAGACACAATTACCAAATCTAGATCTGTGATACAAGAGATCTAGCAGCGGATTTGTGATGGCTCATCACTGGAAGCTTTCAAAAAGAGAATGGACTGCTATCTCTCAGAAATGGTGTAGGGTCTCCTGCTTGTACCATTTAGTGCAATGTAAGACTCTGCAGTATTTTTATTACAGTTGTGCAGATGATGGACTGATTATGTATAACAAATAACCACTAATATAGTAGGAAAAGCTCAGGCAAAGATAAATGGGAAACCATGCACCTTGCAGCTATAAAGCCAATCAATTATACCAGCATTCTTAATTTAGTTCCTTTCTGCACATACACAAGAACCATTAGAACTGAATCAACCCACAATTTAGAAAGGAATATAACAGACCTATTTCTTTCTCCTTTGCCACATTTTCATAGACTGTCACTGAGTCATAAATACAGTCTTCATTTTCTTCCAGTTCAAAGTGTTCATATGCAAGCTTCAGAAAAATAAAAAAGAAACTGAAATTCCTCCAAAACAAAGGAGTTTGATTTTAAATAAATATGTTTTTCTTTTTTTATTCGTACAGCTCTTACTGTTACCAAACAGTTAAACCATTGATCAAACATGATGCTCAAGAAAAACTTCATTCAACAAAGCACAAACAAATGCTATTATCCTCTTCCCAAGAAATGTGCAGAAGATGAGGTTTCACATCCTTAAAATATTAAAAATTTCATTTTGCAAATGTTTAATTCAAAAAAGATCCAGACTTTAGTTTACTACTATTTAATATAATGGCAGATCTCAAAATGAGAGTAGCAATATCCTCATGTGCCCCAAAGTTTTCCAAAGTTTTAAAACTTCAGCAATCAGGATTGACATAAAAACAAATATTTATTTATGGGATGTAATCAGAATGATAGGGACATAGGATAAAAGCCTGGCTGAAGATAGTCAGGCTCAATACTAAAAATGTTGGATTCCATATTTTAAAAATCTAATATAAACACAGAGTAATATGTATAAAATAAAATTCATGAACAGAAAAAGTGGCAAAGTGCATTTGAACCAAATCAAATATGTGTAAATTTTAATTGAAAGAAATATGTTATGCATATGACTTATACCTTAACAACATGGTTCTCTGGAGCATGAACAATCCATTGGCATTCTGCTAGATTATTATATGCTTCTGGATAATGCATGCTTTGCACTGTTCCTTCTTCAAAGAGAACTGCTAGAGATTCACAGCCAGAATCTAAACAGAAACCAAACTTTCTTCAAAATAAATAAGCTGTTTCAAACATTTAGAAGGTTATGTTGTCCTATCACACTGTGAAATTTATGCATATAATTATGATGTACATTAAAATGAAATACAGCTCTTTGAACATTACCATTATAGGGAAAGAAATATTACTTAGATGGTGAATGAAAACAGTTTTGAAAGGGATAATTTTACTACAAATGGTGCGATGGTGTATTTGAATAGTGGATTGGCCTTGCTTGTGGTGGTACCTCTTTTGTCAGAGTGGCCAGTTCTAAAGTTGATGTGGATTGGTTCATTTGTATCAGCAATTGCTTGGTTCTTGAGTGTAAACATCTTATTATATGTAAAGTCATTTCATATCTCAGTTCCATCCTGTCTTGTGATGGCTTAAGTTATTCCTCAAGGAACTTAGTAATGATACTTCTCCATGAAGTTCATGCACTCAGAAGTTCAGAACCACAAAGACCAAATTTATCTCTTTGAAAGGGAAGGAGAGAAAGACGAATGCAGGGTAGGCGTGGCTCCAAAATGCCATTCTGTTTTTCATAATGTATTTTTATATTGATTATGCAGTATCTCTAATCAAGAATAATCTGAATATGCACAATGGATTGATCAAGAGCATTAATATTTACCTAGAAAACTAGCTGGTTTTATAGCTCGGTATGTCATGCTAAATCCAGTTCCTTCTTCCTTGTTATCTGAGACAAATTTCAATCTTACGCTGTTTGAACCAATCAAAATAGGCAGTGGTAGGTTCATTCCACACAATTTCCCTAGAAAGCAATATGTAGAAATGAAGATATTGATACTCATAGGCATTGTTATTATTATTATCAGGGTCGCACATTCATCCTTTCAACTTTCAGAGACTAATTAAAAAAAAATGTGGTCATTTGCTGAAACATTCTTGCCAGTTCAACTATAGTGGAATATAGGGATGATTTTTCTTTCCATGCCATAAAGCCCCCAGATTTAAATTTTCTTTGCAGGTAATAAGTGGTTATTCAGTTCAATAAAGTGTCAAGTAATGCTGACATTTGAGTAGAAGATTGTTTTGATTGTCAAAGAAATGTCAACAATAGCAGAAACTTCTGTTTTTAATTAGAAGCCAGCTTGCGGCAATATATTTTGAAGAAGCAACCTACCAATGAGTCGATCATCCATAGAAATCACTGACAAAGAATCATAGTCACAGAATGCATCTGGCTCCACATCAAAGTGAGAAAAATTCAACACTATATGCCTCCCTTCTGGAACAGATAAAGTCCAAATGCAGAGTCTAAATTGAAAAAATATGGAGGGAATTCTAGTTGAAAATTAAACCATTAATTAAGCACAGGTGCACAAAATCATAGATAAAACAAAAATGTGTTTCTTCCACCCTCCCATGCATATTATATTGAAATCCAGTTAAATATTATAACCCTCCCCCCCATGCACACATAATAATTTTAGATCTCTAATAAAACCCAGTGAGATTTTAGATTTGCTTCTGAAAAACTTAATTCAAACAGCCTAAGAAGAATTTCACAGACTAATAAAAGGTAAGATGAATGCCATGAAAAGATGTATAAAGATGAATGTCTAGAACTTTCTAGGATATAAAGAAGTCATAGTTACATAATACCTTTTAAAAAGAAGGTTCATTGCTTGCTTTATTTACCGAATAACCCACTACACGAACATAACTTTACTTATCATATTAAGCCACATTTGATTAACCATGGCTCAGCTGATAAATTACAATCATCTTAGTTTGCATAAATTCAAGCCCATTATTTACAAATCGCAATATCTGGTTCATATAACACCAATAAAGCACATTAAAGTTTAGAGATCATCCTCACATCTTGCTCACCATAATCGGAAGATGCCTCACTAACCATTTTAAAATGACATACCTTTAGGTTGTCAAAATATTTTGGCAATTCATTAATAATTGGGTCCCTTTGAATGTACCCATGAAAAAGACTTGCATGAAGACATAGCAAATGTAAACAAATTTCTTTTCCTATCTTACAAAACTCACTTTCTCCTCAACTCCAGAAGCATTCCAGGTTATGGAGAGGTTTTACCCACTAGAAGTTTTTCCTCTCCATTGATGCGTAATTGGAGAAGTGAGCTATGGGAATCCATTATTCGTTTTACTTAACTTGTCTTGCATTAAATCTATATGGACAGTACCAATCTCCTGTAGCATATTCTGAGGGAGGCTAGGGTTTCAGACACCAGAAATTATTCGGACATCATCATTACTACTACTACTACTACTACTAATACTACTACTACTACTATTATTATTATTACTATTACTATTACTATTATTACTATTATTACTATTGTTATTGCTGTTGCTGTTGTTGTATTATTATTATTATTATTATTATTATTATTATTATTATTATTATTA